GGGGACAGGGGGGACAGGGAGGACAGTGGGGACAGGGGGGACAGGGGGACAGGGGGACAGGGAGGACAGTGGGGACAGTGGGGACAGGGGGACAGGGGCACAGGGGGACAGGGGGACAGGGGGACAGTGACTCCTGGCTGTCCCTGAGCCGCTCCAGCAGGGAAAGGCTCGGTGCCCCCGAATTTTCCCCCACTGCCCCCTGCCCATACCCCGGGAGAGCCGGGTGCTCTGGGGTGACAGGGGTGCCCGTCTCCCTTTGCTGCCTGGTTTTTGGTGTGTGACCCTGCAGGGCAGGGCCCGGGAGGTGCCAGCAGGACTCAGCACCAGAGAGGTGCCAGCAGGTCACAGGTGCCCTCCACGCTGCCGTGATCACCCTGGCAGGAAGGAGAGCGTGGCATGAACGTTTGAGGAGCTGCAGGCTCCCAGCTGGAGCAGGAGCAGAAGGAATCGCTGAAAGGTCCTGCTGGTCTCGGGGGTCTGGGAGCCTCTGCCCCGCTCTGGGATTATTCTCCGACCTTCCCGGCTCTCCTCTGCCTCGCCGGGGATTTTTCACCCACGGCCAAAGCGGAGATGAAACCTCGCCAATTCAATATACCCAAGGATCTCTCCCGGCCAAAGCTGCCGAGGCCGAGGGGTTTTGCCCTCCCGCGGGCAGCCGGGACCTCGCGGCTGGCCCGGGCTGGGCACGGTGCCATCCTGCCCGCCGCCCCTCGCTGTGCCCGCACGTCGCTGCCCCGGCAGTGCCAGGCTGCTGGAAGAGTCAGGCAGGGGCGGCCGGGGAGCCGCGGATCCTCCAGCAGAGCCAGGGCCGCCCCCGGCCCGGAACGCCTTGGCCGCAGCAGCGCCTGCCCTGGGAATTTGGAGTTTCCTTCCTGGGAATTCTCCTTCCTGGGAATTCTCCTTCCCTCGGAATTCTCCTTCCCTGGGAATTTCCTTCCCTCGGAATTCTCCTTCCTGGGAATTCTCCTTCCCTGGGAATTTCCTTCCTGGGAATTCTCCTTCCCTGGGAATTCTCCTTCCCTGAGAATTTTCCTTCCCTTTGGATTTTCCTTCCCTTTGGATTTTCCTTCCCTTGGAATTCTCCTTCCCTTTGGATTTTCCTTCCCTTGGAATTCTCCTTCCCTTTGGATTTTCCTTCCCTTGGAATTTTCCTTCTCTCAGATTTTTCCTTCACTCTGAATTTTCTTTCACTCGGATTTTTTTCACTCAGATTTTTTTTCACTCGGATTTTCCTTTCACTTGGGTTTTTTTCACTCAGATTTTTTTCACTGGGCACACTCAGGGGTGTGGAAATCCTCCTGGGCACACTCGGGAGCCTGGAAATCCTCCTGGCACACTCAGGAGCCTGGAAATCCTCCTGGGCACACTCAGGGGTGTGGAAATCCTCCCGGGCACACTCGGGAGCCTGGAAATCCTCCCCAGAGCCCCAGGGCAGCAGCGATGGGCAGAGCTTCACCTCCATGGCAGCAGAGGATGGCAAGGAGAGGGAAATGATCCCAGGGGATGCACGCTGGGATTGTCCAACCTGGCAGGAATCCACGGGGAACTTTAATACCAACAGGAAGGGGATCTCCCCCTCTGATCATCGCAGGTGTTGCTGTTGCAAATCAATTAAAATATGATGGTGACCTCAGCGTGTTCACTCCCAGAACATTTGGGATGTCCCCTAGCATGGTTTAGCTCGGAATAAATCCATCTTTCGGGTGTTATCAGATAGAAATCCTCCCCAAAACAGAGCAAACCTGAGAGAAAACAGCAACAGCTCCGAGGCCCGAAGCCACGCGCTCCTGAAGGTGTTTTACAGAACTGAACACCAGCCACAGCTAGAAAATTAAACAGCTCTTCAAGTCAGCCACATTTACATTTAAATACCCAGAACCCACTGAGCCTTTACCCGTAAACTGTGTTGGGTGCCCCCCAAAAAGCCCGAAATGACAAGCAGAGATACTCAAGTACAGATGGCCGTGCTTGCAGCACAGAAAGAACCGAAGCAGAGGTTCCGCCGAGGTTGCTCTGCTTGGTCTGCAGCCTCTGCAGGGAGCCAAGGGGGAAACGTTGGCATTTGCTGCTGACCCCCAAAGGCTGCAGAACAACCCCGGGATGTTCCTCGGCCGGGCTCCGCAGGGACCCCCTGGCACTGCCCGGGCACCGTGGCACTCCTGCAGCTTCTCCCGGGGCATTTCCTCCCCTCCTTGCCTGGACAGCCCCAGGCAGCGTTTGGGGTGAACCCAGGGCTGGGAGGAAAGGAGGGAGCCCCTGGTTTGGGGGCATTTGGGGGGATTTGGGGGGATTTGGGGTTTCCTCTGCAGGGAGGAGCTGGGGGCACAGATCACCAGGCAGTTTTTGCTGGCACCAGGTTTGGAGCCAGCGTTGGCAGGAAGGAACTTTTCTGGCACGAAGTGGAAAGAAAAGCCCACGGTGCTCAGTGGGGCTGGGGTTTTCTCCCCCAGTGGGGCTGGGGTTTTCCCCCTGCCAGGACAGGGGATGCCCTGTGGGCACTGCCAGCCCCCAGAACTCTCTCTGGGTGATCTGGGGATGCCCTGTGGGCACTGCCAGCCCCCAGAGCTCTCTCTGGCTGATCTGGGGATGCCCTGTGGGCACTGCCAGCCCCCNTGATCTGGGGATGCCCTGTGGGCACTGCCAGCCCCCAGAGCTCTCTCTGGCTGATCTGGGGATGCCCTGTGGGCACTGCCAGCCCCCGGAGCTCTCTCTGGGTGACCTGGGGGATGCTCTGTGGGCACTGCCAGCCCCCAGAACTCTCTCTGGCTGATCTGGGGATGCCCTGTGGGCACTGCCAGCCCCCAGAGCTCTCTCTGGGTGACCTGGGGGATGCTCTGTGGGCACTGCCAGCCCCCAGAACTCTCTCTGGCTGATCTGGGGATGCCCACGGGGAGCTCTGAGGGCACAGAGGAACCCGAGCTAACCCAGGCCCCCTTTTGGTTCTCCCCCAGCACCGAGCCCCTTCGCCCGCGGGAGCCCGGCCCGTTTCTCGCCGGGGTTTTCGGGGGGCAGAGCAGATTTGGGGTTTTCCTGCAGCCCCACGGAGGCTGCACTGCTCCGGGGCCGCTGTGCCCCGCGCTGGCAGCGGGGCAGGGCTGAGCCCCGCGGGGCAGAGGGGAGGCGGGCCGGGGTGCCAGGGGCACCTCAGACCTGGCACACGAGCGGGGGCTCCTTCCCCTCCGCCTCCCACAGGTTGTCGTAGCTCAGGTCGCTCTGGGAGCTCTGCAGCTCGGCATAGTCGTGGCACGACAGCGAGTCCTGGCACGGGCAGGAGCCCTCTGCCAGGGCACAGCTGCCAGCTGCCAGGCCTGCCAGGGCACAGCTGCCATCCGGCAGGTCGTAGGTGCCATCTGCGGGAAACGGGGACAGATGCTTACAATTTGAATTAAAAAAAAAAAAATATATATATATATATATATGAATATGAATATATACTTTATACTATAATAAATATATATTGATATGTAATATATAACATATAATAAACAATAATATATATAAAAATAAATAATTAAAAAAATATATACACATTCAAAATATATATAATAATATCATAATTATTGTGGCAGGACATGGAGTCCCAGCAGGGGCAGGTGCCCTCTGCCAGGTCATAGGTGCCATCTGCGGGGAAACAGGGAGGGATGTTTACAATTTGGTATTTATATATATATATGTGAATATAAATATATAATTCCTACTATTATAAATATGTGGGCATATGTACTACACAACATATATATAATATAAAAATATAATTATATCTAGATTATATATAATTATATATATACATATACATATATATACACATATATATATGCACATGGACAGGGGACAGTGGCAGTGGCAGTGGCAGGCCTCACCTGGGGGACGCAGCTCGGGGCTCAGGTGTTCCTGTGGCAGGGCGGAGATCTGGGGGGACAGGGACAGCCCGTGAGGGTGGCACGGCTGGGGCAGCCTGTGCCAACCTGTGCCATCCGTGCCAGCCTGTGCCAACCCGTGCCAGCCTGTGCCAACCTGTGCCATCCGTGCCAGCCTGTGCCAACCCGTGCCAGCCGTGCCAGCCCCGCTGCCCCATCCCTGTGGAGCAAAGGGCCCAGAGCCCTGCCGGGACCACCTGGGCAAAGTGGGACCCCAGATTTGTACCCCTGCACCCCGAGTGTCCCCTGCACCCCCCGAGTGTCCCCTGCACCCCCCAAGTGTCCCCTGCACCCCTGACTGTCCCCTGTACCCCCTGAGTGTCCCCTGCACCCCGAGTGTCCCCAGCACCCCCCAAGTGTCCCCAGCACCCCCCAAGTGTCCCCTGTACCCCTGAGTGTCCCCAGCACCCCCCAAGTGTCCCCAGCACCCCCCAAGTGTCCCCTGCACCCCGAGTGTCCCCACACCCCACAGGGGAGTTCCCAGCCTCACCTCCCCCAGGTAGGAGCCCTGGGCCGGTGCCCGCGGCCGGAGGCGGTGCGAGGTGCCCGGGGTGCTGTAGATGGGGAGCGTGGGCACCTCCCTGCAGTGCCCTGGCAGGGGCTGGCAGTGCCACTGCTCCAGGGACAGCTGCTGGGGACCCGGCACGGGGCCCTGGGCTGGTCCTGTCTGCCCGTGGCACTGCAGGAACTGCAACAAAACCAGCCCCACGTTGGACCCGGCTGTGCAGGGCTGGGAAATGCCCGCCTGGTGCTGCCCACCCACCTGGTGCTGCCCACCCCAAACCCAGCCCTGCTGCAGCACAGCCAAGCCAAGCAGGGGTTGCTGGCTCTGCCCCAGGGGTGCAGGGGATGAAATCAGCTCCAGGGTGCAGGGGATGAAATCAGCTCCGGGGGTGCAGGGGATGAAATCAGCCCCAGGGTGCAGGGGATGAAGGCAGCTCTGGGGTGCAGGGGATGAAATCAGCCCCAGGGGTGCAGGGGATGAAGGCAGCCCCAGGGGTGCAGGGGATGAAATCAGCTCCGGGGGTGCAGGGGATGAAGGCAGCTCTGGGGTGCAGGGGATGAAATCAGCCCCAGGGGTGCAGGGGATGAAATCAGCTCCAGGGTGCAGGGGATGAAATCAGCCCCAGGGTGCAGGGGATGAAATCAGCCCCAGGGGTGCAGGGGATGAAGGCAGCCCCAGGGGTGCAGGGGATGAAATCAGCCCCAGGGATGCAGGGGATGAAGGCAGCTCTGGGGTGCAGGGGATGAAATCAGCTCTGGGGGTGCAGGGGATGAAATCAGCCCCAGGGTGCAGGGGATGAGGCAGCTCCAGGGGTGCAGGGGATGAAATCAGCCCCAGGGGTGCAGGGGATGAGGCAGCTCCAGGGGTGCAGGGGATGAGGCAGCTCCAGGGGTGCAGGGGATGAAGGCAGCTCTGGGGTGCAGGGGATGAAATCAGCCCCAGGGGTGCAGGGGATGAAATCAGCCCCAGGGGTGCAGGGGATGAAGGCAGCTCCAGGGGTGCAGGGGATGAAATCAGCCCCAGGGTGCAGGGGATGAAATCAGCCCCAGGGGTGCAGGGGATGAAATCAGCCCCAGGGGTGCAGGGGATGAAATCAGCCCCAGGGGTGCAGGGGATGAAATCAGCCCCAGGGTGCAGGGGATGAAGGCAGCTCCAGAGTGCAGGGGCCAGGGAGGACCCTGGAGGGAGGGGGTCACCCCAGGGTGGGGATGACTCAGGAAGCCTTTCCCTGTCACATTGTCACAGGCAGAAATGTGGCCTTTTCCAGGCACTTCCTTATCGCAGCTGGGACTTTTTGGGGTGGCCGGGGCGGGCTCTGGCTCTGACTCATCTCCAGTTTCGGGAGCCTGGCTCAGTCTGGCTCCTGCCTTTGTCTGGCGGCTCCTGCCTCCCCCGGGGTGGCTGCGATGTGCAGCCGGTGCTCAGGCAGGGGAGGCTGCTCCCCCTGCCCTGCCCCAGCCCAAAATGCAGCTCTGGAGTTTCCATCCCTCCTCAGAAGGCAGGGAAGGAAGGAAAGAGCCCCGGAGGCAGGAGCCTGGCTGCTGAGTCAGGGCCAGCTGGGAGCAGCAGGAGGCTGCACTGGGAGCACTGGGGGAACTGGGAGTGCAGGGCTCAGTGCAAAGGGGGAGCAGCTGGGAGCTGCTGAGCGCTGGATTCCCACCCAGCTCTGTCTGTTCAACCCCAGGGCAGGATGGACACGGGGTCAGGGCACTCGCAGCTCATCCCAGGAGGGGCTGGAGTGGGGACTGGCCCTGCAAATAAAGTCCCAAATGCATGTGGGGTGATGGGGCTGGGCCAAGGAGGGGAATTCCTTAAGGAACAGTCACCGAGGGGTTGGGAAAGTGGCATCACACTAAAAAACGGATGCAGACGTGCTGGAAAACCCTTGGAAGAGGAGGCTGTGTCCCATGAGGCAATAGCCTCCTACTCACGGGTTGCCTCAGGAGCTGGTGCCCACATCCCAGGGCTCTGGGAGGCATTGCTCCATCTGCCATGTGCAACCTCCCTCCCACGGCCCCTTTTCCCACGGCAATGCTTTCACACCTGCTCTGAAGCACCTGCCAGGGCCCTGTCCCTGCCAGCAGCACCAGCAGGGAAAGGTGAACCTTGCTTTTCCCAGGCAGGAGGATCCAGCCCCTCCTGCATGCAGCCCCGTCCTACACCCATCCTGATCCCACATCCACCCTGATCCCACCTCCATCCTGATCCCACATCCACCCTAATCCTACATCCATCCTGATCCCACATCCACCCTGATCCCACATCCACCCTGATCCCACCTCCATCCTGATCCTACATCCATCTTGATCCTACATCCATCCTGATCCCACATCCACCCTGATCCCACCTCCATCCTGATCCCACATCCACCTTAATCCTACATCCATCCTGATCCCATATCCATCCTGATCCTACATCCATCCTGATCCCACATCCACCCTGATCCTACATCCATCCTGATCCCACATCCATCCTGATCCTACATCCATCCTGATCCCACCTCCACCCTGATCCCACCTCCACCCTGATCCCACATCCATCCCCATCCCACCTCCATCTCCATCCTGCATCCAGCCCCATCCCACCTCCATCCTGATCCCGCCTCCATTTCCATCTCCCATCCCATCTCCATCCCTCATCCCCATCCACAGCCATCCCAATCCATCCCGCTCCCGTGCCCACCATCCCTTACCATGCCCACCATCCCTTACCCTGCCCACCGACCCTTACCCTGCCCAGCTCCCGCTGTGCCCGGGGGTGCTGCTGGGGGCCGGGGGCCGTGTAGGGCTCGTGGTACAGCGGGGACTGGGTCTCCCCCGTGGGCCTCTCGGGGCTGAGGCTGCCGATGCCCCTCTCGGGCTCCTGGCTGGGCAGCTGCTGCCCGCTGCTCCTGCCCTTGGATTTCCTGGCGCTGTTCCCCCTGCGCAGCTCCTGCGTGGGCCAGCCGGGCTGTGCCAGGCTCTGTGGGGAGAGGACAGACCTGGAGCCGGCTCTCCTCGGGCTGGGAGTGCCCGTGGGCATCGCTCCGGGCTCGGGAATTGCCCAGCTCCTGCCCGGGCCCTGCCCCACGGCTCTGCCATCCCTGGGGGTGCCATGCCTGTGCTGGGGCAGAGCAAAAGCCCTGCCTGGCCATCCCTGCTGCCCCCCTGCAGCTTTTATTTTGGGGTTTACCAGCCTTTAACCTCCTGTTTGCCCTTTTGTAATCCCCAGAAGCTCCAGTACAGGGCAAGGACTGGGATGGGACTGGAACTGGAACTGAAACTGGGATGGGACTGGAACTGGGACTGGGATGGGACTGGAACTGGGACGGGACTGGGACTGGGACTGGGACTGGGACTGGGACTGGGATGGGACTGGAACTGGGACTGAAACTGGGATGGGCCTGGAACTGGGACTGGGATGAGACTGGAACTGGGACTGGGATGGGACTGAGATGGGACTGGGACTGGGACTGGGATGGGACTGAGATGGGACTGGGATTGGGACTGGGATGGGACTGGGATGGAACTGGGACTGGGACTGGAACTGGGACTGGGACTGGGATGGGACTGGAACTAGAACTGGGATGGGACTGGGATGGGACTAGGATTGGGACTGGGACTGGGATGAGACTGGTACTGGGACTGGAACTAGAACTGGGACTGGGACTGGAACTGGAACTGAAACTGGGATGGGCCTGGAACAGGGACTGGAACTAGAACTGGGATGGGACTGGGACTGGAACTGGGATCCCTCAGCAGCATTCCCCTGACCAAGCTGAGCCAGGACAAGCCCAGGCTGCAGCCGGGATTTGCCCCAAGCCCACAGCGAACGCTGCCAGCAGCAAAGGCAGCGCCCCCCGGCCCAGGGGATCCCCAGAGGCACCCCAGGCTGCTTCTGGGGCTCACTTACGTGCAGAGGCTGCGCGTAGCCGGGGGACAGGGGCTGCTCGAGCAGCCGGCCCTCGGGGCCCAGCAGGAAGGGGTGGCCGTCGGGCAGGGACGGCTGGCTCAGCGCGGCCGCTCTCCCTGCGGACGCCCAGGAGCTGCTGCGGCCGTCGGAGCTCAGGGACCCCCGGCCGCTGCTGCTGAGCTGCAGGGGACAGGGACACCCTGGGACACGGCCCTGCAGCCCCGGGCTGGGGCTGTGTGCCCCTGGCCTGGGCCTGGCGTGTGGCACGTGCTGGTTTTGGGGGAGGGAGGGGAATGGGGGGTGCCCAACAGGAAAAGGGTGCCAGGCAGCCAGCCCCGTCCCAGCTGGCAGGTGGGTCTCCCGTTCCTGGTGGGAATTACAGAATATCCCAGCTTGGAAGGGACCCACAGGGATCACGGAGTCCATCCCCATCCTTGTCCCCATGCCAGTGCCTCACTGCCCAGCCCTGTCACAGGCCGTGTCCAGCCTCTGCTTTTGAAGCAATTCAATGTCTTTTTTTTTTTCCCGTACAATACCCTGTATTAATAATTTAAATAATTTTAAAATAATAAATAATTATTTAAATAATCCCCAGGGATTAGCAGCTTCGAGCAGAGGCTGCCGCGTCACCGGAGTGACACAGCCACGGCTTCCCACCCAGAGCTGCAGCATCCCGTACCTGGCTGGGGTGCGGCGGCTTTGACCCCGCGGAGAAGCTCTCGGAGCCCGAGAGGGAGGAGTCGGCGTTTCGGAACTGGGCGGTGTTCAGGCAGTAGAGCCACTCCTGGTAGTCCTGGTAGCTGGGACAGGTCACCCGGATGGAATTTATCAGCCGGCCTGGAAAAACGTCCCCAGCTGCTGATGCCGGGCTGGACCCCTCGGGAACGGCCCTGCTCCATCCCAGCCCGCATCCCACGGGATTGGAGGGAGTGCTCTGCCCTTGGTGCTGCTCTGCTGCCAGGACACGCAGAGCACCCCAAATTTCCAAGCGGGGCAGCTCGGGGAGCCCGGGTGCCCCCGCACACCCCCGAGCCCCGTGGCTGTGCCCCCGCCGTGCCGGACACCCACCTTCGATCAAAAAGGAGGTTTTGTCGTTCTCCTCAAAAAGCACCTGGATGGCGTTGAGGGGGAGCTCTCCCTGCGGACAGAGGGGCAGGGTTGGGGTCGGAGCCGGCAGAGCTCCGGGGCACAGCGCTGGGTGCAGCCTCTGCGGGCACCGGGCACCGAGGCTGGATCCTGGAGGGGGAATTCCAGCGGCATTGCTCATCCTGCACATCCCAGCGGGATTGCTCATCCTGCACATCCCTGCTGCATCCTGCACATCCCAGCGGGATTCCTGCTGCCTCCTGCACATCCCAGCGGGATTCCTGTTTCCTGCACATCCCAGCAGGATTCCTGCTGCTTTCTGCACATCCCAGTGAGATTCCTGCTTCCTGCACATCCCAGCAGGATTCCTGCTGCTTTCTGCACATCCCAGTGAGATTCCTGCTTCCTGCACATCCCAGCGGGGTTCCTGCCCCCAGGATGGGGCTCCATCCTCCCCTTCACAGAGACACCCTCCGGATAAGCTCACCCACTCGGGAAGCTCAGCAACATCCCCAGATACCTCCAGCCCCCCCAGCAGCTCCCCCTCGCTGGTTTCCACCTGGCCCAGGGCCTTTCCCACCGCAAGATTGGGGTGAGCCCCGTCCCAGCCCCAGCCCTCGGCAGGGGCGGCTCTGCGGTGGCTGCGGAGCCGCAGAGCAGATCGGAGCTGCGGCAAGGGAAGCGCGGCAGCCCCGGGGGAGGCTCCCGTGCCCGGACACGCTGCGGGAGAGCCGGTTCCCGTCCCAGGCCGGGGAATCAGCCCGGAGCGCGGCTCCGGCACCGTGGGAAGCCAGCACGGCTGCGAAGGGAACATGCACGGGGCAGGTTTAGGGTTTCAAAGGATATGAGCTCATGGGAGAGCCCAGCCTCGAGTGCTGCCCCATCCCAGGAGCTGCGAACGGCGCATTCCCAAGCCAGGCTGTGCCCGGGGCGTGCCCCAGCCCTGGAAAACGCCGCCGGAGCTGCTCCGGGATGGGGAGAGCTCCGCTCCCGGCACGGAGCCTCCGGGAGATGCTCTCCCCAGGGATAACGAGAAAGCGTTCTGCAGGATGTGGAGCAGGGCCCGGGGCTTCGCGGTGCATTTCACAGCCCTGCAGCTCCGCAGGGCTGTTTGTGCCTGCCTCGGTGACTCAGGGATGCGGCAGAGCAGCAGCTCCGGGGTCACAGACGGGTCAGCGCCGCTTTTGGCACATTTGTTCAGCACGGGAGGAGCAGAGGGCTCGGAGCGAGCCATCAGACGATGCTCGAGATCACAGAACCACGGCAAGGAAAGGGCAGAGAGGCCCTCGGGCACCACCGAGCCCAGCATTAACCAGCACAGCCGTGCTGTGTCCCCAAGTGCCGCGGGGATGCCACTGGGTGATTTTAGGGCCATTCTGCCTGTGCTGGGGCTCCAGCGCTGCTCCCACAGGCAGACACAGCAGAGGAGCTGCTCTGGCATCCCTCGGGATGCTCCCTGTCCCTGCTGTCCCTTCTGCTCCCGCAGAGGGAGAGCGCTGCCAGCGCTGCACCAGCGGCAGCCTCCCCTCCCCTCCCGAGCCCTTCCCCATGGCACCTCCTCCTCCTCCTCCTCCTCCTCCTCTCCCAGAGCCTCCTTGGCAGGCAGCTCCTTCCCCCGGGCTGCTGGGAGGGCAGGGTGTTTCTCATGGGAAGGGATCTTGCTCCATCCCTGAGCTGCTCCCTGCCAGCTGGCACGGGAGGGACACCAGGAGCAGGAGCTGCGGGTGGGGAGCAGCAGGACTCACCTTGAAGCAGAGGCCGCCGGGCTCCTCGGACACGATCACCAGCGTGGAGGGGTAGAGCACCAGGAGCCGGTCGTGCTGCTCCTTGGGAAGCAGACAGGGAGAGGCTTGGATCCCTGGGAGCAGCAGGGCTCAGAGCTGGAGAGCCCCGGGCTTTGTTCTGCTGACAGCAGCCTGGGGCAAGGGCAAGCTGAGCTGGGCTGCTCCCTGTGCTCAGAGATGGATTTGGGAATGCCCTGGCTGCTTCCCTGTGCTCAGAGATGGATTTGGGAATGCCCTGGCTGCTCCCTGTGCTGGGAGATGGATTTGGGAATGCCCTGACTGCTTCCCTGTGCTCAGAGATGGAGCATGCACCAGTGACTCCATCCATGGATCCATCCATCCATCATCCATCCCTCCATCCCTCCATGCCTCCAGAGCCGTGTCCTACCTGGAAGGGCAGGTGCTGAAGCTTCACCTTGGACACGCAGAGGATTTCTCCCAGGGATTCCCGCTGGGTGCCTCTCCAGTCCTGCACGGGCAGGTTCTGCAGGGACCAGCGCAGCCCCTCCTTGTCCCCGGCGCTCGGCGTCCGGCCGCTCTAGGGACAGCACACACTGACCACCTGGCCAGACACTGACCACCCACTGACCACCCACTGACCACACACTGACCACCCACTGATCACACCCTGACCACCCACTGACCACCCACTGACCACCCACTGACCACCCACTGACCACACCCTGACCACCCACTGACCACCCACTGACCACACTCTGATCACACACTGACCACCCACTGACCACACCCTGACCACCCGCTGACCACCCACTGACCACACACTGACCACACCCTGACCACCCACTGACCACACCCTGACCACAAGCCTGCCCCCCTGCCTGCCTGCCCCGCCTGGGACAGCTTCTGCCCTGGCAGGAGCAGGAAAGGAGAGACAAATCTGGGCAGGGGGCAGTTTTCCAGCTGGGAACGCACTGTCATTCTCCACACCCAGCACCGCCTGGAAATGCCTTTCCAAGGGGGATATTTCTGTTTGACACGTGGGGAGGGAATTAAAACACCCTCAGAGGCTGGGAGAGACAATTCTCTCTGTTTTTTCGGCTTCAGCCTCCCCCTCCTGATGTTTTGCAAGCTCTGGGTGGTTGCACAAGCGCCCAAAAGCGTGAGAGCTGCTCCGAGGCAGCCCCAGCTCTGACCCCATGGAGGCTGTGCTGCTGGTGGCACCCATGGGTGGCAGCTCTTCCTCCCAGCACATCCCCCCTGCCCGTGGCTCTCACACCCCTCAGGCAAGCTCCTTTTGCACCCTTCTTTCCCATCCAAGGGAACGCACCCGTGTCCCAGCTGGGAGCCAGCGGTGGGACACGGCCGCGGGACCCACCTGGCACAGCAGGGGCAAGGCCAGGCTCCCTCCACAGAGCTGGATCTGCTTCTCCAGGTGGTACAGCCACTGCTTCAGCTCGGCCTCGGACGGGCAGAACACCACCAGGGGGTTCAGCAGGGGCCCTGGGGGTGCGAGACCCGCGGTGAGCGGAGCAGGGACGGGCAGGGATGGCAGCATCCACCGGGGGCCAGCTGGCAGAGCTGCCACCCTGCAGAGCCATCCTTGGGTGTGGGGACACCAGAGCCCAGCTGCCACCCCTCTGATGGCAGAGCTGCCACTCTGCAGAGCCATCCTTGGGTGTGGGGACACCACAGCCCAGCTGCCACCCCTCTGATGGCAGAGCTGCCACTCTGCAGAGCCATCCTTGGGTGTGGGGACACCACAGCCCAGCTGCCACCCCTCTGATGGCAGAGCTGCCACTCTGCAGAGCCATCCTTGGGTGTGGGGACACCCCTGCCCTGCTGCCACCCCCCTCCAGCCCTCCCTGCCACCCTTTTGTCACCTCAGCCTTCCCAGACTGCTCCAGCCCCTTCTCAGACACCCCAAGCCCTGAGCACCAGGCACTTTTAAACTTTTTAACAAATCCTAAAGTCAGCCCAAAAGCCAAGCCTGACCTCCCGAGGTGGATTTCAGCTTTCAAACCCCCCAGCAGTTTTTGGGAAGCCTCTCTGCGGGCAGGGGCCGTGCCAAGGTGCTGCTCCCCCGGCAGAAAGCCCCGGTTATGTCCCAGGTCCAGCCTGGCTCTCCAGCTGTAAACACCGGCAGCTTTCTGACACTGTTTGTTTATTTATTGCCTCACCGAATCTAACCCGTGCCAGGCAAGCTGAGGATGACTCCAGACATCCCCTCGCAGGGAGGGACAGCCTGCAGCTTGTGGATTTTCGAGTTTCCAGCTCTCAGGAGCACAGCCTCCCACGCCCTCTGCTACCTGCTCCCAGCACAGCCTGCTGGGGGCAATAACCACTCCTGGCAGCATGCACGGTGGAGCTTGTGATTAATAATTTACCCATATTAAACCCTGCTGGCTGCAGCCTCCAAGGATCTGCCTCTGTGCGACTTGGAGGTGCCCAGATAAGCCCACGCAGGACTTTGCCCTTCTGAGGTATCTTTAGTGCCCTAATTCCTGCATTATTTACAAACAACGGTTCACGGAGCCTTTGAAGTGCGTTTGTCTTGCAGGAAATGCAGGGTAAACAAAGCTGAGGTGGGGAACCGGGGCAGAGACTCCCGGGTGACTCCAAACCCATGACAGCAATTCGGTGTCACGCATTTGCTGGGCATCCACGTGTCCGTGGAGCTCTCCCGTTTCCTCTTGCCTTGGTTTCCCGGTGTGATGCCGCTCTCGGGGCATTCCCTGGCATCCACCCCAATTAGAAATGCAAATTAAAGCCAGCAGGAGTGGTGCTGATCCTCAGTGTGACCCTCACCCTGGGCACACCCCGAGGGCATCACGCAGTGCCACATCCAAACGGGGCCCCGAAGGAAGAGAAAATGGGGAAAGGCACATGAAGGAAGAGAAAACGAGGAAAGGCACCCGCAGGAAGAGAAAACGAGGAAAGGCACCCGCAGGAGCTCCGGGGGTGCTCCCCGGCGCTGGCCCGGGGCAGACCCAGCCCAGTGCCCTCCCGGGCTGCCCAGACCCACCTGAGATGTGGAAAGCGTGGTCCTGCTGCCCGGGGCTCTGCCCAGCGCCCAGCTCCCGCACCTCCAGCTCCTTCAGGGGCAGCAGCCCCTGGGAAAGAAGGAAGGCAGGGGTTACTCTGGGCTCCGTCCTCTGCCGCCCTGGGGAGCGCCTTTCCATTCCACAGGGTTTTCCCTCTTTCGTTTTAAGAGAAACCTCAGCAACATAGTGAGGATTTAACAGGAGAAAAGCAGAAAATGGGACTGGCCCGGCAGGAAAAGGGAGCTGTCCAATTCCCAGCTTGCTCAGGTTCCCACTCTGCCAAAGCCCAGGAACAAGTGACAACTTTGTCCCCCCTCTCTGGGCTGCCTAAACAACCTCCATGAAAGATGCTAATGGCTCTAATGCCCTGGGGCACATTCATTCCTTGTTAATTCCTCCACAATTAATAAACTCGGGAGCTGTTTCTAAAGCAGTCAGGAGAGTTTGAGATGTTGTTTGTCTCCTGACATGGGAATTTTCAGTTGAAGGCTGCCTTGGGGGTGACTGGAGAGGTTTTCCTGATGTTTTACACCAACCTCAAGTCACCTAAAGGCTAATTAATCATTTCTAAGAGGAACTAATTTTACAATCACCTCTCAGACATGCTCAGTTTTAGTTCCTCAGTTGCGTGGAGGAAGAAAACATTCAGGGCTTGCTGTTCCACAGCTGTGGCTGTTTGGCTGTGGTGCAGAGCAGTTCATTCATTATTTGCAACTCCCCAGCACCACCAGGTTAAAAGATTCATGAGCGGTTTGCCAGCAGAGCTCCCCAAGGCTCAGTTTCTCTTCCCCCCTTCTCCCACAGAATCATTAATGTTGGAAAAGCTCCTCCTGCAGATGGAGAACTCCCCCTAGACCCCCGTGGGCACCAAGGCCGGGGGATTTGAGGTTTCCCAAGGCTCAGCTCGCTGTGCCTGCTGCTCAGCACAAAGGTGGCTCCAGGTCACCTCCTGCCTGTCCCTGGGCTCCTTCACCCCCGGCCCAGGTGAGCCTGAGCTGCTCTGGGGACAGGCTGTGGGACAAAACACCCTTTTGGAGCTCAGCATCCCCGGGAAGGGACTTGGGGACATCTCCAGGAGTTTGGATGTGCGGTGCCCCAGCGTGGCCACGGGGCCCAAAGCCCAGCTTGCCCAGGTGAGGCCCTACCTGGTAGGTGAGGCCGTTGGGAGCCGTGGATTGGAAGTACAGGTAGGACTGGAAGAGCTCCAGGAAGCAGCTGTTGACCTCCTGGAGAATGGAGAGTTTGGGTTATCCCAGGACACCTCTGGGGTTATCCCAGGACACCTCCTAGCCTGCCTCCACATCCCAGGCACGGAAAAGCTTCTCCAAGGGCCACATCTGTGCTGATGGGAGCAGTGGGCACGTGCCCAGGGAATTCTCCATGATCCCATTTCCCAGAATTTCCCAGAATTTCTCCTCCCTTCCCAATTACTCCACATCCCTGGGCACAGAACCCCCCCCACCAAAGAGGTGCCTCAGGTTTACCTGGCAGTGCTGGAACTTAAACTTGACCTTGGAGTAATAAATCATTTTGCCCAAATTCCTGACAACCGTTTTCCTTCGGCCCTTCTTGAACAGGCTGGGGAACCTCTGGTCCAAGTTTTCCTTCTGGTTTTCCTGCTTCTGAATAATCTGTACCGAGGGAAAAGCAGATGAGAGCTGGAGGAGGAGGCATTCCCAGAACATCTTCCCAGCAGGGATTCCTGGGAAGGGCGCCCTGGGCAGGTGCCCAGGATGGGCTGTTTGTTGTTGGGTCTCCTTGCCAACGTGGGGCCGGGGCTCGCTTGCTGCCGGGAGCCTGTGAGGAGATCCTGACCTAAAGCTGGGGCTTGGGCTGGAAAAGGGAGGGCAGAGGCACATTTCACTTTCAGGGTGTCCCAGCTCCACAGAAAAACCATCCCAGTGCGCCCTGAGTGTGCCTTCCATGGCGGGGAGTGGAGAGGTTTCCTCTGCTCGGGTTCCACCTGGATCCCTCAGCTCTCCCAGCTCGGGTCCCGCTCAGATCCCTCTTTCTCCGGGTTCTGGCTGCCAGACAGTTTTGGGGCAAAAGCAGCTGCAAGGCAGATTTTTCCTGCAAAAACCTACTGGAAGCACCACGGGAGAGCCAGGGCTGAGGAGAGGAGGCAGCACTCGGGGCTGGGGCTTCCCTGATTACCTGCTTCTATGGGAATTCTTCCCCCTGTGCAGCAGCACAACCCCACAGCCCTCACTTCTCCCCACCTGGGGGATAAAGCTCTGGGAATTCCTTCCAAGCCAAAAGTGGCCGGGCCAGGGGAGGTTTGCAGTGGTTCCCTGGGGTTCAGCAGGGCTGGTGACAGTCCCAGCATGTCCCTGTTCCTGCTGTGCCCGTTCCTGACCCCATTCTGCATCCCATTCCCTCTGTGCCCATTCCTGACCCCTTCCCAATCCCGTTCCTGACCCTGTTCCCGATCCCATTCCCTCTGTGCCCGTTCCTGACCCCATTCCCCATCCCATTCCCTCTGTGCCCATTCCTGACCCCATTCCCAATCCCGTTCCTGCTGTGCTGTGCCAGGACAGCTGAGTGTGCCTGTGATGGATGAGGATGAGGATGAGGATGAGGATGAGGATGAGGATGAGGATGAGGATGAGGAGCCACACCGCGGACACTCAGCCCTGTCCTGTGACTCACCCCTCTGGCACAGGGTCAGCCCATTCCAGACAGCCCCAGGAACTGGGAATGGGGCTGGGAATGGGAATGGAGCCAGGGAACCGGGAATGGAGCTGGGGAATGGGAATGGGTCCGGGAATGGAGCTGGGAAGCTGGGAATAGAGCTGAGGAAGTGGGAATGGAGCCAAAAGTGGTCAGGACCCTTTCACCTGCAGAGCACAGGGCTCCTTCCAGGGCCTGGCTGAATTTGGAGTGTTGTTTTTAGGACATGAGTTAACCCTTTCCTGCTGAAATCCTCCCTCCAGTTTCCCAGCTATGGAGCAGAGTTTAGAGAACACGCTGTGTGCCCAGTAAGTGGCTCACTGGGGCAGCTCAGCGTAGGAAAAATGGTATTTGTGTCACAAATGCAGAGCAAAGAGCAGCTGGTCACGGGTACAGCAATAACAAAACACAGGATAAGGGCACCAGCAGCACCTGGGAGTGGGGAGAGGGTGAAGTGATAAAATCATGGGCTCGGAGATAAGGAACAGCACCAGCCACCAGCTGCCGGGGCACTGCTGCTGCAGCCAAATTTCCCAGGAATGAACAAGGCAGCGAGAAGAAAAAGCAGTCTGGGAGCTGGGAAAGCAGCAGCAGCGTTGGGAAAGAGCTTCCAGAGGGATCCTCCCGCAGGCAGGAGGGAGAGGGAGAGCTTCCTCTCGCGTGGCAAGGAACAGATGGAATATTTCCCTCACCCAAGCAAGCCCAGGAGGGGTGGCAGTGAGCCTGAGGGATGCAATGGCTGAGCACAGGAGCAGCTCCGAGGCCGTGGAAAAACGGGATCACAGCCCTGCAGTCTGCTGCCCTTCCAGCTCCCACAGCACGGGGATAAAGCTGAAGGAGCTGAAGGAGCTGAAGGAGCTGAAGGAGCCCGGCGTTTTCCTCCCCTCCGGAATCCTGCCCCGCCTGGGCTGCGCGCCCTCCTCCAGCCCCATCCCGGCCATTCCCGTTATCCCAGCGCTGCCGCTGGCTCCCGGGCACCGCCGATCCTTGCAAACCCGGTTCCTCCCGAGCCGCAAGTGCCCTGACATGTTCTCATCCTACAGGTAGAACGAGTTACTCATTAACTGCTCGGGCCCTGCAGCCCCCGAGCCCCGGTGAATCAGCAGCAGGAAGAGCAGGAGCTGCTCTTTCGTGGGAAAAACACCAAACCGGCGGCTCCTGGGGCGCATCCTGCCCCGCCTGGCACCGGGAATCGGGGCAGGGGCTGCTGGGGGTGCCACAGGTGCAGGGATGTCACCTGCCCCGGTCCCAGGTGGCGATGCCACCTCCTCGGAGGTGCCCGGTGCCGGCAGCTCGGCTCTGAGCCGGCCCTGCAGCTGCTGCTGCGGCCAAAGCCAGCAGGGAGAGAGGGGCAAAGCCCAGGATTCCTCCAGCCACACAGCAGCCCCTCTGCCCCAGGCCAGGGTAAAGGCTGAAAAGCTGCTCCACCCTCCTTCCTTCCATCCCTGGAGAGATCCTGCACTCCCTGCTCCCAGATGGGCCGGCTCCATTCCCATTCCCCAGCTCCATTTCCAGCCCCATTCCCATTCCCCATTCTCCCAGAATTCCTGGGAGAATTCCTTCCTCCACCAGGATTCCTTCCCCAGGACCCACTGACCCTGACAGCTTATCCTGCTTTCCCCGGGAGGAATCCAGGATCCGGCCGGGGCCTGCTTTTGGCTGCCTGATCCTTTTGGATCCAGCTGATTCCCACAGGGAGCCCTCCCTGCAATTCCCTCTGCCTAGCACCAAGGCCGTGCCTCAGTTTCCCCTTCCCCACGTGCGCACAGCTGGGATCGATGACCGCCCGGATGCTCCCAAAATTCCGCCCACAGCCCCGGCCCACCCAGCGGGACCCCCCAAACGCTCGGGGGCTGCTGGCTCCCCTCGGTTCCCCCAGCGGCGCTGGAGCGGGGCCGTGAGGCCGCAGGGCTGGGCCGTGCCCGGGGCAGCCCTGCCCTTCCTGATTCCCTTCCCAGGCTCCTGCTCCGTGGGAATGAATCATCCCACCTGCCAAAGCTTTTCCCTTCCCTCGCAGCCGACCCAGAAACAGAAGAACCCAGAGCAAAGGTGGTGTGGCGGGGATGTCCCCGTGTCCCCGTGTCCCTGCTGGGCTCCCAGCAGCACCCCTGCCTCAGCCAGGTGCCCTCCACACCTGCACGGGGACCGGCTGCTGGGAGGGCTCATCCCTCCTGGCTCTCCCTGGGACAGGGCTGCTGCTGCCCCAGAGCCAAACCCAGCTCGGGGCGGGTGGGAATAAACCCCCGGGAGTGGGGAGCGGGTTGGAGGTGCTGGAACTTGCCTTGGCTGGAATATACTGCAGGATTTTGTCCGTGGTCGTGTCTCTCTCCTGGCCTCCGTCTATCCCAAAGAAGCTGGGCAGCTTTTTCTTGCCATTTTGGCTACAGAGGGAAGGGAAAAAAAAACCCAAAACACACATGGAAACATAGATCCAGGCTGAGGCATGGTGAATCCTGCCCAGAAATAAGGAAGCCATGACACCAAGCAAGCAATTTGTCACAAGCTTTCGAGTCATCCCAACCCAGCCAGGGCTGACAAAGCCTTGGAAGACTGGAATAGGATTTTGCTGCATTTGTTGGGGTTTTTCTGCTTTTTTACAGCTCTTTGCTCAGCCAAATGATCATCTTCACTCATCTTGTGCCCCCAAATGAGCACAGGGCCTGGATGTTCCATGGCAGAGCACAAAAATCAAACCCAGCTCCTGGAGAGCCCCTGGAGTGGGGATGGATCTGCACAGATCTGTGGCAGATATTCACAGGGAGAGCTCATTTCTGCCATGGTGGCTTCCCTCTCCCTTCCCTCCACTCCCCCGTTTCTCCCTGGGTGCACACCAGTCCCAGGCAGCCACTGGTGCTGCTGGGAAGAGCTGGGACTTCCTCAGATTGCAGCAGAAAACCAGGAGAATCCCCACGGGCGTGGGAAGCCAGGAGTCAGTGGGACAGGAGGAGCTCTGGGGCTTGGCTGCTCCACCACAGCACCCTGATGTGAGATCCCCAGAGCCCAAACACCCCGAGGGATCCCCTCTCTTTTACCCCAAACCCCTGAGGGATCCCCTCTCTTTTACCCAAACCCCAAGGGATCCCCTCTCTTTTACCCCAAACCTCTGAGGGATCCCCTCTCTTTTACCCAAACTCCCGAGGGATCCCCTCTCTTTTACCCCAAACCCCTGAGGGATCCCCTCTCTTTTACCCAAACCCCAAGGGATCCCCTCTCTTTCCCCCAAACACCCCAAGGGATGTTTTACCCCTCTCTTTCACCCCACAGGAACTCCTACAGGTTTGCCCCTGATTTCTGGCAGCACAGGACACCAAGGGAGCAGTTCAGGCTCTCCTTTCAATCAGAAACCCCTTGTCCTGGCAGAGTTTTGGGGGGATTTGGGGGGTTTTTGAGTGGTTTTGACCCCTGACACTGAACCCAACGCAGACAGGTTCATGATGAATCACCTCATTCCCTCAAAGCTCTTTTCCAGCTCTGGACGTGCTGATGGGAAAGCTGGGAAGCTGCACTGCATTCCCTGGCTGTCCTATTTTGGGACAGCCACCCACGGCCACGGTACCTGAGCTCTGCCCTGGCCAGCCCAGCACCCAAATCCCAAAAGATTGCACTGAGATTTTCTGCCGCTCCTCCTTTGGGTTTACAAACACAAATCCGATGGCGGGGCGCTGGGATTTTGGGGCTTTTCCCCTAAAGCCTGAGGAGTGGGAATGTTGTTTTCTCACAACAGTACCACAACTGTGAATAAGAACACTCACAAGTGAAAACAGGGAATAATATCAGGTGCTCTGCACCCTGGCCCGCCGGGGGAAGCCTTATTACCCAAACAAAAATTAACTCAGCGCCGCTTCTCCCGAGGGCTGGCGTTCCCTGCCGGCTGAGAATTCCATCCCCGGCGCTCGGGGTGAGCTGGTGCCGGGCTCCGGCAGTGCCCAGCACCCCCAAAACCTCCGGGAAATAGGAAATCCCCAGCGGCAGAGATCCCGCCGGAGATCCAGCCCCGGTCCCGCATGCCGGAGCCGGAGGGGGTTACTCACTCCTTCTTCAGCGAGGGTTTCCTTCGGAAGGAGCTCCTGAAGCCGCCGGGAGCCTGCGGGACGCAGGCGATGTTCCCCATGCCGGGCTGGCTGCGGGATCCGTGCGGGCTCGCTGCGGGATCCGTGCGGGATCCGTGCGGGATCCGTGCGGGATCCGTGCGGGATCGCTCCGGCCGCTCCTCTCCGCCCGCCGCGACTCGAGTGGGTGTGGGCAGAGCCCAAAGCCGATCCTGCCCCTCGCTCCCGCCCCGGGGCTGGGAGGGGCGGGCCAGGTACCTGTTCCTGGGAATCCACCCGAGCCACCGGCATTCCCGAGCCAGCGGCGGCGGGGAGCTGCGGCCGCCGGGAACCCGTCCCGGGGCGTTCTCCCAAAAGGAATTCTGCCCAGAGACCCATCCCGAAAGGAATTCTGCCCACAAACCCATCCAGGAGCATTCTCCCAAAAGGAATTCTGCCCACAAACCCATCCCAGGGCGTTCTCCCAAAAGGAATTCTGCCCAGAGACGTATCCCGCAGTGTTTTCCCAAAAGGAATTCTGCCCAGAAACCCATCCCACAGTATTCTCCCAAAAGGAATTCTGCCAATAAACCTATCCCAGAGCGTTTTCCCAAATGAAATTCTGCCCACAAACCCATCCCGCAGCATTTTCCCAGAAACCCAACCTGGAACTCTTTCCCAAATGGAATTCTGTCCCCACAAACCCATCCCACAGCGTTTTCCCAAATGGAATTCAGCCACTGCACCGGGTGGAGATAAGGATGCAGTGAGATAAAGTTGGTGGTTGTTGTTTAAGCATTAACAAAAACCCCTGGGGTTGAAGGGTTCCAAAGGGTTCCCCCTTCCCAGTGCGGTTAAAGATATTAAAAAAAAAATGGGAAAAAAATATCAAACGGGACACTAATCAAAATCTAGAAATTATAGGAGACGGATCAAGGGAGCAAAGAGCAAAAGGAGATGTGCATGAGCAGCAAAAAAAGAATATTTGTAGCAGAAATGCTTTAAAAAGAAGCAAACAGAAGATTTCTGACCGTGCTGAGAGTGCATCACTGCATGGAAATATAAACAATAAAAATGAGAAGTTAATGACAAAAGGTAAATGCAGACTCAATATTTCTGTGCTGGATAAAAAAACCCCTCAGGAATTACACCCATAGGAAACGAGAAACCCTTTCCATTTTCAGGTGGCTGCTAAGAAGTAAACACAAAAAGAATGCTCTGGATCAAAAAATAGAGAAATTCACATCAGAAAGTTTGAAAGAGCTGAACACAAAGGGCTTGAGTCACTGTTGCAGTTCAGTCTAGCAGGACCACAGAATTTGCAAAGAAATTGCATAATTTAACAGGGATATCAATGTTTCCATGGGTAAAAAACCACCCCAGTAATTATGGGGTTGCCAGTTGACAGTAATTCCTGGGAAAATGATGTAACAGCTGTGAGGGAGTTGGATTAACTTTGAGAATTACAGGAGGAGAATATAATTAATACAAATTAACATGGGGCTGTGGAAATCAGATCTTGTCAAAACTAATTGAATTGATGGCATGTTTGAAAAAAAAAATCAGATTTAGTGAACATAAATAACAGTGATGTAAGAAACACCATAAAGGATGTGGTGTGACAAATCTGCGGGTTATTTTAGGAGGTTTTCCTGGAGAATCTGCAGGAATCTAGCTGTGATAGACACACAGGGTGTGTTGGACTGTTCCAGTTTGTGGTGGTTTCACCCTTGCACTAACAAAATATTCCCCAAAAAGGGATTGCACAGTCAGGCCACACTCGCCAGGAGGGAGCAGCTGAGAACAGGTGTGCCATAGAATTTCTCCCCATTTCTGACCTTTAAAAGCAGCTCCTTTATCCCCCTCCCCTTTGTGTCCAGAATCCATTAACCCTTCCTGGCCCAGCACAGCAGCAGGGCACCCCTCCGGAGGGCCCCCGCCACAAATTCCGTGATTTTCATGGCAGGAGCTGCTCTCTGCACCGCTGGCAAACAGCACAGCAACAGCCCAGCACCTCCTGGCCGGGATCAGACACCGCAGCACACAGCCCCAGCTGTGTTTTGTGCAGAACAGTGTGATTCCCCCTCGGACCCGTGGCTAACACGGTCAGGCCGTGACCACAAACGTGCTGTTCCTCTGGTTTGTTCTAAATAAAACCTCCCGGCTCGGAGCAGGGACACAAGCGCTGCCGCAGCTCCTGCTGCTGTCACAGGTCCTGCCTGCTCCCTGGGACAGCAGTGACACCAGCAGGGCTGGCAGGGCCAGCTGGCACTGCTGCCCTCAGAGGCTGCCCTGGAGCAGAGGCTGGGCAGGGCTAAAGGGATAGAGCGGGGTTTAAAATAAATAAAGGAAGTTAAAGGCTAGACAGAGTTCAAGGAATAAAGTGGCGATTTATTTAAAGGCCTTCACAGGATACACCTTGGGCAGTACAGGAGCCTGGCCGTGGCTACAGCCAGGATGGACTCCAAGTCATGAGTTTCAGATTTTGATAAGTTTGGGTCCATTTCCATATCGGGGTTCATTGTCCAATTCCAGGTTGTGCAGTCCCATCCTCCCACTTTACTCTCCTGTTGCTGGCACTTTTTGGGGTTGAAGCTGCAGCAGTGTCCTTGGTGCTGGGGCTGGAAAAGGATTGTTCCGTGTGCCTGAGCTGTGAGGAGAACTTGCTGACACTTCATGTGAAGCTCAGCGAACCAATGCAGCAGAGAATGTGGAAAATCTGAAAGGTAAAACTTAAGGCATTCCACCGGTGGCTGAGGTCAGGCCCGCCACCAGCGTGAGGGCACAAAGCTCTCCCAGAGCCCACAGTTCTGCTTGCAGGAGAGCCTGAACTGTCGGGAAGCAGCCCCTGGACTCCAGGAATGCTTTTCGAGTGTTCAGTTATTTATAGGAGCCAAAGCAGGAGCAGGGGCAGCAGGAAAGGGCACACGGGGCTGGTGCCAGGCCAGGAATCCCGGCTGCCCTCAGGCCCCAGGGCTGGGCTGGTGCCGGGGCGCCGTGAAATGTGAAATGGGCTCAGTGTGAAATGGGCTGGGGTGAGATGGCCTCAGCATTGCCCCTCGTGAAATGGCCACGGTGTGAAATGGCCTCAGCATTGCCCCTCGTGAAATGGCCACGGTGTGAAATGTGCCTCAGTGTGAAATGGGCTGGGGTGAGATGGCCTCAGCATTGCCCCTCGTGAAATGGCTTCAGTGTGAAATGGCCTCAGCATTGCCCCTCATGAAATGGCCTCGGTGTGAAATGTGCCTCAGTGTGAAATGGGCTGGGGTGAGATGGCCTCAGAATTCCCCCTCGTGAAATGGCCTCGGTGTGAGATGGCCTCAGAATTCCCCCTCGTGAAATGGCCTTAGTGTGAAATGGCCTCAGCATTGCCCCTCGTGAAATGGCCTCAGTGTGAAATGGCCTCAGCATTGCCCCTCGTGAAATGGCCTTAGTGTGAAATGGCCTCAGCATTCCCCCTCGTGAAATGGCCTCAGTGTGAAATGGCCTCAGCATTGCCCCTCGTGAAATGGCCTCAGTGTGAAATGGCCTCGGTGTGAAATGGCCTCAGTGTGAAATGTGCCTCAGTGTGAAATGGCCTCAGAATTCCCCCTCGTGAAATGGCCTCAGGTTCCCCTGCCCCATGAAATGGCCTCAGTTCTCCCCTCTGTGAAATGGCCTCAGCGTTCCCCTGCCCTGTGAAATGTCCTCAGTATTCCCCTCCATGAAATGTCCTCAGCATTCTCCTCCCCTGTGAAATGTCCTCAGTATTCCCCTCCATGAAATGGCCTCAGCGTTCCCCTGCCCCATGAAATGTCCTCAGCGTTCCCCTGCCCTGTGAAATGGCCTCAGCGTTCTCCTCCATGAAATGTCCTCAGTGTTCCCCTCCTGGGCCAGCAGTTCAGGAAGCACGGTGGGGCCTGTGTCCCCAGCCTTGGGGCCATCTCTGTGTCCCTAGCCTTGGGGCCATCTCCGTGTCCCCGGCCATGGAGACATCTCTGTGTCCCCGGCCATGGGGCCATCTCTGTGTCCCCGGCCATGGGGCCATCTCTCTGTCCCCAGCCACAGGGACGGGCTGAGGTGGCAGCTGGAGGGGGTTCCTGGCCTGGTTCTTGTTCCTGCTGCAGGGCGAGCTGGCAGGGACTCCTAGGGACACCAAACTGGGCTGTGATGGTGGAAATCAGCTCTGGAGCCTCTGGGGCTGGGGCTTTTCCCCGAGGTCTCCAGCGTGTTCTCTCTGTGATAAAGGGAAGGGTGACACAGAGGGGACACTCCCAGCACAAAATCCCCACTGGGAATACAAAACCCCCACACCCACCCAGGCCCCCAACACCCTCAGCTGAGTCTGGGGTTGGGACTTGGCAGAAAGCTGCTCCTTTTAGCTCAGCTGTGCCACAGCAGGGCCTTCCAAACTGGTTTGGGCCCCTCTGGCCTCCTCTACCAACACCCCCCCAGCAGGGCCAGTCCCAGCTGGGCTCCAGATGGGAGTTCTGAGCAAACGCCTCAAAGCTGCACCCAGGCACATGAGATCTCATAGAATCACATCCCAAGTCACAGGGGATCCACTAGATCAGGGTCCAACCCCTGGCCCTGCCCAGACACCCCAACAACCCCACCCTGTCCCAGGAGCTGTCCAAAAGCTCCTGGAGCTCTGGGACCCCTTCCCTGGGGAGCCTGGGCAGTGCCCAACACCCTCTGGGGAAGAATCTTTTCCTGAGCTCCATCCCAAACCCTCCCCTGACACAACCTGAACCTCCCCTGGCTGCTCAGGCAGATCAGAGCAGTGCACCCTCTGCCTGGGGATCCCAGCCTGCACTGGAAAGCAGGGACAGCCCCAGGAGCCAGCCAGGGGAGGGAAGGGAGAGTCAAGGATGCACGAGGCAGGATCCGGTATCCAAGAAAATGTCTTTATTGTACACATTGGCTTCTATTGCTTGTATCCCCTCCCCAGTCCCACGTAGTGCAAAAAATTCAGAGAAACAGAGTTCCACATAAATAAAGTCGGATAAGTTACAGAGAAATCAAAGTGACAACAACGCTTGGACATGGATCTGGACCAGGTGTGCCCAGCAGGGAGGCCAAGGCAGCCTCTGCCCCCAAATCAGGGCAGGGGCTTCTG